AAGATTGACACAAGTATTAAAACTCACCCTGTATATGTCTTATGCATATGTGCTGCATCATGCCGCATTTTTGCATATCATAGAATGAATATAAATTATAATTTTTATACTAATTTAAAAAGAATGAAAAACACTTTTCTATGAAAACAATTTTATAGAAATGACTCATCAATTTTATTGCTAAAGCGTCATTGCTATAATGATCCAATGACATCTTATACTAAACTCTCACATTTTGTACATTATTAAAAGTTAAAAAGCGATTTCGTTTAGTTGTCGCCAGAGTTATGGAGATTTTATAATACAATAGAGTATATACGATGGCACAAAATGCGTCACATTTTCGACGAACAAGTTTCGTACAATAAGTCCAACTTTTCGCAAAGTACTTCAACTTCAAATCGATATATTTATTTCGCACGCGCTGTCTTATCGTCGACAATGTTAAATCCGCGACTTTGCAAACTTCAAGATTGAATTACATCAGGTTTGACAAAAAATCACGATCGCCGGCGTCGCGAACGCGAACAAAAACAATCGATCGGCGAAATCGTGCTCGGCAAATCGATTAGTCGTGTCGTGAAATCCGAAATCTTTCGCGGGCACTCTCGGGAAATCGTCCGTAATAAATCGACTAAAAGTGGAGAAAATTCGCCTCGCGTCGGTCGGAATAATGATGTAACCGAGGTTACTTCTCCTCCTCCAAACGAAAAATTTTCTATCCAATGAGGAATATTCAAAAGCAGGAGAAATGTAATAAAAGTTTCAATCTGTGAGAATAAAAAAAGAAGCAGAATAATATAGGACTAATGTTACTTTTAGAAATGTCTATTACTTTTACATATAATTTTACATATTTTAGAAAATTCTCTCAAAATATATGTTTTAAATGTGAAGAATTTTAACGAATTTCTTAAGAAAGCTTATTTTCCATCATGTTTATTCGTCTTACGCGATATCTTCAATCGTAGTTTTTCGCGTGCCTTTGCCTGAAAGGTTTGTTTTTAGCATCGAAATTCACCCAGACATGAAAAAGAGATAGAACGAATCGATGTGCAGGATAACATAGTGATGGAATCAAGCATGATTTAAACGGTACTGAGATTTTTTTCGATTTGATACGGAAGATCAATTGCGGACTCGAAGATCGCAACCCTCTTTTCCATGAGATTAATCTCTGGTAATTCAAAATTGCTTCACAGCTAAAGCTAGAGATGTAAATAGAAAAAAAGACGTAAATAGAGCACAATTTTTTTTCATAAAATATGATGTTTTTTGTAACAAGCTTTGTTTTCAAATTTTTGTTTCTTTTCCAGATATTTAACATCTTTATATTTTGATTATTGCAAATTGATATTTCATTATTTTTGATTTTTTAGATGATAGAATTAATTTAAATTAATCATTATTTCAAATAAATCACATTCCAATTGGTTATATAATTATATAATTACTATTTTTAATTATGTAAATTCTCTGAATTAAATAAAAAATAAACTTGAATGAATTGTTTTTATTAAAAAAAAGGTATAATTTTGTAATATTTAAAAATTTATTTTGTCACTATTTTAATATAATTTAAAAAAACTAGAATTATATTTTTTAATTTATTTTTTTTATTTCCAATTAAATATATAATAAAAATTTTTATTACATCTAAATTGAAAATTATCCAAATCCATGTTTAATGTAATTTATCTCATTAATTCAATAAAATTATTTTAAAAAAAAGATAGATTAAAAATATAAAGTTTTAGTTTTTTATTTTAACAAAAATATACAAAAAAAAATAATATTATACTTTAAAAAATAATGAAAAGAGAGAAAAAATTTTTTTAATAAAAAAACGTTTTTTGACGTTTATTTTCTATTTAAAACATGTTTTTTTTTAACTAGAGCTTACTGTGAATTATTTTAACGTTTCATTGCACCTTAAAGCGTAATTTTATTATCGATTCGCTTGTTTAAAATTACTTTTAGTGCGATTCTAGAATAACAATGTTATTCTAGAGCAATTAAATAATTAGTTTACGTTAAAATATTTGTAAAATGTATTTTCGTAATTGCAATCTATTATATTAATATATATAAAAGAAAATGCAAATCTCTCTATTATATTTTATATTTTGCACAATAAATTGAATCAATGAAATTATTTCAAGCGAGTAATTATGATTGACATTTTTCGAGAATTCGAAATTTAATATTATTATCTAATAATACATATTATTAGAATAGAAAAATAAAATTCAGATCGTTTTTCGTCTATTTCTTAAATGAAAATTACGCCTTGACAACTTTGAAGAGTGTTTAATGTTGCACGAGGAATTAACGGGAAGTGATGAAATGCGATGCGAGCGTGATTCAATTATTAGATCGGACAGCGATTATTCTAACGTCCGTCGATGGCTTTCGACGAGAGAGCCGCTTGTGAATCGATTGAAAATTACAGCTCGGGAATTGGATCGGGCCCATCGCTAGCGGTTCGGTAGCCGAGAGGGAAAGAGATGAGAAACACACGTCGGGGAGAAGCAGAGCGAGCGAATAAGTGGGGACGACGGAATGAAACGCGTGGTGGGACGAGGGCGAGGGTGCGCGGAGACAGGAGAGGGATGGTAAGGGAAGGGCGGCATGAAACAAAGACAAGGGGAGCAAGAAAGGGGTTGAGGGGGAGAGAACGAAAGGGAGGACGACGATGGAGAGAGACGATAGAAGCCGACCGGTAGAAAGGTATAGTAGAAGGGAAACTACTATTGGAAGAACTCTCGGGGTAAGAGAGGGAGGAAGCATAGTGGTAGTGGAAAGGGGAAGGGGTGGGTGAATCCGCGGGGTTGGGGAAAATACAACACGGACGAATACACACACCAGAGAGCTAAAAGATGAAAGTATAACCCGGGCAACAGTGGCTCCCAAGCCAAATAGAACATTATGTCACGTATAAATAAAGCCGTTTCCCAACTTTGGCTCGATAGATATTGCAACGCCAATAAATTATCTTCCGCTAGCTACCGTATAAAATCGCCCTGGGCGTGTACGAGGTAAATCACGCTTCGTTCGGCGCGTTGCACAATTACCGAAAGAGTGTGTCTTTCTTACGGCGCGCGGGTTTTCACTCGTGCGGAAAATTTATCGGATTATACACAGAGTCAGTGGCCATAGAGAAAAAGAAGCCATGCTCGGAGAAACGCGGGAAAAATTATTTTTGTTCCTGTTAAAATTAAAAGCTTCGACAAATTAAAGTATACATTTATACAATTATTATCTATTAAATAGATGAAAGTATCGATAAAAATAAATATATAATTAATTAGAGAATGCAATGAGAGGCTCATATGATATAAATCAATAACACGAAACAATAAAGGCAAAGAGCCCTATAGGTGGAAGTGTGTGAAAGAATTTTTTATCAAATTATAAATTGTATTAAAAATATACAGTTATATATACAACTCTTCGCATAATACAAATTCGACATACAAAATATTATTGTGATAAACGTTTCGACTTCATCCAGACCCTTTTCAATGTCGACAAGTTAAATTGAAAATTTACAAAATAAGAGCAAATTAAGTCAAGAAAAAACAGTATAAAGCAGTATAAAGTACATTTAAAAAAAAATAGTCAAAGCAACACAAATAATGTCCAGAGTGGTACAAAGGACAAGAAAATCAATACAATAAAAAAGAAAAAATAATTTGTTCACTTCAATGGATGAGGTCGAAACGTTTGTCACAATAATATTTTGCATATTAAATTGAAAATTTGTAATATGCGAAGAGTCGTGTATAACTGTATATTTTTAATACAATTTAAAATTTGATAAAAAATTCTTTCGCACATTTCCACTTGGTTCTTTGCCGTTATTGTTTTGTGTTTTTGAAATATATAGTTATTCGAATAATTATTATTATTTTATTTTTTCTCTCTTTCTCTCGCACATGTATCCCCGATGTTAAAAATAAATGGATAAAAATGAATAGAGATAATTTTTCATAGAATTATTACTTTGTATCAGAGAGAAAAATAAAAAATTATAGATAAGCGAATTTATATACGCATAACGCAGACCACATCGAGTCATTTACATGCGATATAATATCGTTCAAGTTGCGTAAGTGTTTGAACTCTGCTCAAATGAGTGATAATAATTTATGCGTTTAATGCGAAAAGCAGATGCATACGGGGCAAGTAGTAAGTCAAACTTGGCGAAAATGACATCGCTCTGAAAGCGCAGGCGAACAATTAAATTATCGTGGAGGCGGAGTAGATAACGATGCACTCGAGGGTGCAGCATAAACCACGGGTTATGTGTCACGTGGATTATGTGTATATATACGTATACATACATTTCATATAGTTGGAGGAAAGGAGAGACTGTTACGCTCTCTCGTCCTGACACGGTTCTATATATCTCTCCGTGAAAGCTCGCGCGAAAGTTCCTGGCATTCTCACGTAGAGTCGCTACCTCTCGATTGAAAGTCGGTAAACGCGACAAAAGCCACATTGCGAATAGGATAGGTAAGCGTAGGTGTCCTGTCGAGAAAATTCCTGCTGAAATCGCGAATTTGTCCGAATTCTCGCTCGCGCGATCTCTCGATCTTGATTTATTTGCGCGGTTATCGGACGATAAAATACGTAGAAAAAGAAGACCTTTTTTCTCCCATTGAACAAAAATTCTATTAATTACGCAATCGCAGATATTAGTTGTCACATTTTTTGCAACATTCTATCGATTCTTGGTAGCAATTATATATCTCGGGATAAAAATTTTCGCGACAAGCTATATTAAATTGTTATAAAATAAAAATACGATAGCTTTGGAATGTTCTCATATATTTGTTAGTTGTCATTAAATATAAAAATCTATCCGGTGTTTCGATGCATATTTTTCATAGACGATGAGACAATATCGATAGCAGATACATAGATTATCAATAATAAATTAAATTAATTTTTCTCCGATTAATATCGCTAATTTTGATTATTTTTTGTATTCCCAGGATGAGGTGCTGACGATATCGGAAAAGGTGGTTGTTCGTGTACACGATCTCGTCACGTGGCTTTCGCCCTCGTTGGAATGGTCATGGGGTCGAGAGGTGTCTTATCCGACGACCCCGACGTCGTCTCCGGAAACCAGCCCGCTGCGATACGAAATGCCGCAGCCGCAGGTGCTAACGGATCCAGGAATCGACTTCTCGGATGTCGATAAGCAGCAGAAGGAGTACGAGAGCAACCTGAACTCTTCGAGGAGATTGGATTGTTTCCAGACGAAGGTGGTGGTGCTCTCGTATCCTAGGTATTGCCGTTACCGAGCACTCCTACGTCGACTCGAGGGCGCCGAGCCTTCCTGGCTGTGTTCGTCTATCGCAGCCGCGTTAGGAGGCTTCACCGCGACCCCCGGCACCAAGGTACTCTTCTGCCGAGACACCTTCGACTATCCTGATCTCGAAACTCACGAGCTACTGTGTAATCATTTAGGTATGTACGATTATCGATCATTTAATTTGAATTCAATTCACGATTCGATTCGCAAGGAAAATATCAATAAGAGAATTTGCTTCGATTTTGTCATATCTCTATTTTTATACAATTGTGGATGATACAAAACGTCTCGGAAAAATATTGTCATACGATTGGAGAATAATTCTTTTCAAGATAGTAAAATATGTACGATAATTTTTTTATTGCTCGTGTATAATTTTTGAAAATTAAAGTACTTGTGTAAAATAAAATATTTATTCGTGTTATAACTGGATATTTTGAGAAACTTGTGTATGCGCATTTAACTTATAAAATGTTGTAATATATATACACATACGTGATCTTAAAGTTTACTTACAATCTGTACATGTTATATACGTTTATATTGATGTACATAGCGTTATCTGTTGTATTATTATTATTAAGCTTATTTACTTTTATACTTTTAATATCAAAGCTTGTTTACTTTTATTTACTTATCAAAGCTTATTTACTTTTATTTATCTTTCGAAATGACAACATGAAATAATCATGAAAATACTGATATCCTTTTGGCATTAAGATTTCATAATCTCTTACTCTTCTTTCTTTCAAAATTATTAGAAATAACTAATTAATAGAAATAACTATTAATCATTGTTTTATTTATATTGTAAAGATAAATTTTCTTGAAAACTTTGCGCGGTTAATAAAGATTTTACTTTGTATACTTTTTTTTTCATGAGAGAGAGTTGTGTTTCTTCATCGGTTATACTGTAATTTGGAGTGAAAGTCTCTTTATTTGGAAAGGTTTTTTTGTATAACATCATTTTTTGTTGTAAAAAATCGATAACTGACGTATGAAAGAAGGGAAAAAGATAGTAAAGTATTATTACGAATTAAATGCACTAATACGGAGAACGAAATTATAAAGCGAAGAAAATTCAATCCATCAATTTGATTAAATATTTCAAATCTCTCCAACTTTTCATACACACACACACACAAACTAATATAATAAATCAATATGAATATAAAAAAATAGATCTTTTATATATTTTAATAAGTATCGTCAAATTATATATATAATTAATATTTTTGTTTAATATAATATAATGAAACATAAAGCTCTTTTTCTTTAATATCTGTCAGAGTTGTGCATGCGAAAAACTCGTTACATATAAATTTATCTCTCCTCTGAAATATTAAATTATCAAGAAGAAATATAGAAATCTGGAAATATAGAAAAACGATCGAAAAGCGAGTAATGTTATTTTCCATTCGTTTCTCTCTCTCAATTTTTTTGGAAGAAACACAATAGCTAATACGTACACACAGATACATTCACACAAAGAGATGCCGATTGCAAACACACCGCGACCTTAACGATAGACGAGGTATTGAAGGACCTAGTCCGGGAACTAGTCCGTGCCGGCGCTGAAAAAAAAACTGACTTTGCGGTAAACTCGTTTCATTGGGCCGCGCGCGCGATGCCGGGAACAATCCCGCAGGATGTAATAGCAGATAAGGCCCAAGCGTCACGAACGGTATCGAATGGTTAAGCTAGATCCCATTGTCAGTGAATCCGTCGTCGACGCTCACATTCGTTGTTTTCACGCATCGATCGCGCATAAGCGAGACAAACGAGACAAGCGAGGCGAGTGCGCGACGCACGATACGCATGTCCCTGCGCTTGTGACGATTCACGTGCGCTTGCGTTCGAATCGGTTGATCGAAAGAAATTGTCGCGTAGTGTACGTACTCTACGTTCGTATCGAAAACGCCGGCGAAGAATGTGCCTTTTGCAATTTTGTTTGTTCGTGATCGCCGAGTATTTTTTTTCTCTTTTTTATCGATCTAATTCGACGGGATGTTATTCTTGCCACGGTATCGTTCATCGTGATTCGACGAGCATAGTGTAATCAATATTGTGTTTTGTGTGTGTGTATATGAGAAGTGTAAATTATATACAGTCTGACGAAGATAACGCGAAGGAAAATCGCGCGATCTAATTGATTTGTGTTATATTGATTCAACTCATGGAAAATTTCAAAAATAAACTAATTATTATAGTCAAGAGATAAGAGGTTACGTTACGTATATCGGTTCTTGGCAGTGTACATTATCCTAACAGCTCGACGACAAAATTACCTCGTCGTTTGTTTTATCTGTGTCGCTCGTCGTATTTTCAAGTCTATATTTTGTTGTCCATACATTATTTAAACTGTTGCTATTATTCGTAAATTATTACGATTGTCATCCGATTCTCGATAAGTATATCATCGCGAGTAATTGGAACTTTACAATTAAAACAATGGCCATTGTAATGAAAATTCGGAATAATCGAGTAGTTTATCTAAACATACCTGGTAAGAAACAATTAATAAAATATATTTTGTAAGAAAATTATTAAATGAATCTCGTGTTCTCATATCGATTTTGTTAAACACGCATATAATATACATGTTGTTAACGTAAACATACGATTAAGATCTATTTTTATACGATATCAAATTAAATATAAAATTAAAGTAGCAGTTTTGAGTTGTGTTAAGTATACACATAAAATATACAAGTTATTTCAACAAACTATTTTAAAGCATTTATCAAGAATGGTCGTCTTATATATTTTTCTTTACTTTTGAAAAAAGTCGAATACATTATTGTTATTATCGATTCAATGTTAGTATGATTATTAATATGATATTCTAGAATTATTGAACTTAATTAAAATGTTGTCAATATACACTACCTTTAACGTAACTTTAACGTAATTTTGCTTTATTCTATATAAATAATATATATCGGGTATCACGAAATAAATCAAAACGATTGTAATTTTACAAATATTCTTTATAAATAATGATCAATACGCACGAATCAATGGAAATTGCACTTTATGCTTATGATTTTATAACATAGTTGTTCATAATATGTTGTAAAGAACATTATTAAATAGTTATATTAATAAAGTTTCGTATGATCGATCGCGTATTATAAATAGTGTTACGAACTTTCGAGGCATTTCGACGTTCTATCTGTTTATCAATAACATTGTTTCGCATCGAAATAGATAAATACTTCTCGACCTTGTAACCATACACTACTATGAAATATTCAATCCAAACATTCACGTGTTCTTAATATGCTTTACTATTGGGCGTTTACGATTATTACCTTGAAACAGTTATATTTCGTGTGAAATACGTCGGCTTAAATTTAAAAACATTACTATCTCTAATATAAACAAAATATTACGTGTACATAAATATATGCACATAAATATTACATGTACATAAGTATATGTACATAAATATATTTAAAAATTATTTTTTATCATTGAGTGACGTAATGTAATTTGCCATTTTTATCGAAACAATTATTAATTATCTGTAATACGAAATATTTACGCAGCATTTAAAATTGCTGATTAACTGGTCTTTTTTTCTATCGAGTCTTAAAAAAAACCAACGTGTATATATTAAATAAAATATTACATGTACATAAATATATGCTAATTTAAAAATTATTTTTCATCATTGAGTGACGTAATGTAATTTGTTATTTTTATCGAAATTATTAATCGTCCGTAATACGGAATATTTACGCAGCATTTAAAATTGCTGATTAACTAGTCTTTTTTTCTACCGAATCTTAAAAAAACCAACATGTATAAAAGAATGCGGTTTTAGATACGCAAATCTCCGAGCGGGGGAGAGAGAGAGAGATAGAATCTGGACGATGATTCAACATGTTTATCTGTGTTTTTTCAGCACCAAAATTAAAAGGCAGACCACGACGAAAACGTAAAAAGCGTAGCGCTTCGCCGGGCGAGTCTTCGAACGAGAGCGAAGCCTCGGTGGCATCAACGTCGAGGAGCACACCGGCGAACACTAGCACTAGCCTAGTTATACCCACGGTCGGGAGGCCTCCCTCTTCCGCGGTACGGCGGAGCGAGAGGAAGATCACCGCGGAGGAAAAGAAGTTTATCACCGACGTGCAGAGTTTTATGAACTCTCGGGGTACGCCGGTCGGAAAGATGCCACTGCTGGGCTACAGGCAGAGTCAGTATCTTGTTATTTTTCCTCGGTATCCGATGACCGGTCTTGCCACCGGAAGACCGGATCGATTTTTTCAATGTTTCGAATTTCATTTCGCGCGATTCGATCGTCAAACTGCAGAAAGCTAACATACAGCAGGGTTTCCTTCTTGCAAAATCGAAATTACAATCGCCCCGTGTTTACAATTTTAACGACGATTTTAAAGGTGCTTTTTTATCCCTAGTCGATCTGTTCCTGTTCTACACGAAGGTGCAAATGCTCGGTGGTTACGATTCCGTCAGTGCTGGCCGTCTTTGGAAAACTATCTACGACGACATTGGCGGCAATACGGGTTCCACGAGCGCGGCGACCATTACACGAAGACACTACGAAAGGTAAAATGTTTTAATAAATATTTAGATTGTTATATTTCTACTCGAGCATTAATATTTCTACGATTAATATCTGTTTATTTCCCACATCGTAGCAATTTTCAATGTTTAGCTCGTGTATGCGCAATAACAAGAGTTTTTTTGCAGGTTGTTATTGCCTTACGAAAGGTATCAACGAGGCGAAGAGACAAAAGTAAGACTGAATCACGGACGACGTACCAAGAGTATGAGCGTGTTCGAGGATTCAGATATCAAGGAAGAACCTAGTGATTCGTATCCATTGGAAACACCGCCCGTAGAAGCAATTTCCGTGACCACAATATCACCCTTGCAGCCAATAATAGCAGCAACGGTAAATGGCGTTTTAATTTAACCAATGCACAAATATATCTGTGTCACATTTCCTACGTATCTTATATTTGGCACAAATTATATTATCTCCTGTTTACTTTCAGACTCTCCTCTCGAATGAGAAACCCAAAACAGAATCCGGCAAGACGTCTTCGTTGCGTAGCGTACGAGTGAAACCGGAACGTCTAAAGTCCCTGAACACAATAATCGCCAATAGCGCGACACCTTCCAGCCAGCAAGCTAGCCAACTGCCAAGTCCACCGCCATCCTCCAATACGTCTATTTCGACCCCGAGCAGCACACCCTCCACAACGCCGACGAATGGTACCAGTAATAGTCAGAGCGTCTTGGAGAGACAGCTCAACAGTCCTTTGATATCCCAACAAGTTCCACCATCGTGTTCGCCACCGGGCTTGCCCGTGACCAGCGTAGCGACGAATGCGTCGACGGTCGTCACTTTGACACCACCACCGGAGAAAGATATGAAGGAGATTAAACTGGATCCCAAGCAAACGACTCTATTGGCGCAGGGGAAAGAGAATATACCGTTGTTCGGCGGCGAGAAATTCACGGAGAAGACGATTGTACCGCCGGTCTGCAGATCGCCCGAGGTGATCGACCTCGAAAACGAGAGCGATACGAGTCGGGATAAGATAATCATTCCTAGCTTTAAGAAACGCAAGCTCGAGATTCTTCGCGAGGGCGGTCTCGAAGTCACCGCTGTTGATCTGGATGCCCGGCCGAGCGTGATCCAGAGCAGCGTCGCCACATCACCGCAACAGACGCCGCCACCGCCGCCGCTGCCGTCGGCTATGAGGTCCACCGAGGAGAAACAACCGTCGATCTCACCGTATCCGATGCCAGCCACGCCCAACTCCATTCCTAAATTAATATCCGTCACCGTGACGCCCGACATAGGACACATGCTGCCGCAGGAGCATCAGAATCACCAATCGCGAGTTCCAGTGGGCAAGCAACAACCGGTTCATCACAATAATAATAATAATAGCACGATGAACAACAATAATGTAACGAACAGTCGGGTGATAAATCTCGGTAATTCGAACAATGCGCTGTTGCAACTGTATGCAAACGCGAACGTTGCGCCACCGATTTCGGCAACGATTCCGCAGCAGCCAAATAATCGCATATTACCAATTCCGAACGGCAGGCTTATGCCGCCTAAAGTAACGCAGTCGAGATCGATATTCATGCATAACGAGAAAACGGTTTACGGAAATCCCAAGGATATTCTTATCTCTCCGAAACATCGCTCGGTGCATCCGCATCAACAGTCGCAGCAACGCTCGCAATATTCGCAAATGAGCAACGACATCGGACAAGGAGGTGTTCTCGATCTTACGCAAAAGTCCAACGAGAAACCCACGTTTCCCAGGCCCAGTCTAGAAATAGTCAGAGTACCTGTAGTGCCGAGGCCTAATCCGTTAAATCTGGAAATGCGAAATTTATCCGGGGCTAAGGACAAACCAACGTTAGATAGATCTTCCGCTGATTGTTCGAAGCGAGTATCCTTCCCTCCCTATCAGAACGTAATCGACAGTCGAACCATCGCTTCGAACAACCTCGAGATTACTCTCGTAAATCCCAAGCAGAAAAACAATCATCATCCAAGTACACCGTCTCACGTCCAAATACCGAGTCCACCTAATAAAAGTAACGCAATAGGAACGATCGGTAGCGCGCAGAGAAGGCAACAGCAGCATCAAGTAAACGGAAAGTATGCGGCGAGAAACGAACCGATATCACCGTATACGCCAAGAAAACCGAGTCATCCCGTCATACCTAACGTACCCAACTTGAATCATCTAAATCACAGTGGAAATTCGTTTCCCAGAATGCAAGCAACGACGATGCAACAACAACAACAACAACAACAAATGAGCATCGACAGAAGGAAAGCGGCCGCCGAGGCCGGCAGGGATCATCAGCATCGTAGAATTAGCGAGAGCGAGAAGTCGTCGTTGGCGGCGCAACAACAGCAGCAACAAGAATCTAGGCAAAGCGAAGCCGGTCGACGGCACAGTTTACCCAGCATACCGTCGGGTTTTGTGCCGGCGGTATCGCAAAACAACTCTGCCGCATTCCCATTGCCACAACTGTCAAACACGCCTGGTAAATTCCTACCGATTCTGGACCCTATGTATTACTCAGCGTTCTACAACGGCTTGTTTCCGCCACCGATTCCGCCCACGGCCGCTGCTGCCGCAACGTCGTTTCTACCGCCGGAATTTAGCGCATATTACAAGGAATTACTAGTTTCCTCGCAACCAAGACTGACGGGGATAACGGGGCAGCCGCCGTATCAACAACCGGCCGCCCCAACGTCTAAATAGACAATGGGATCTCAACATGTAGGGTTTCCGGTATAGCGAGGGATGCTTCGATTACTATAGAGAAACGTGGATCCGTCGGATTTGTTTCGCTGTCGAGAAACGTATATATACCGCGTACGAAGCGCGATTGTATGGATAAAAGTGATGTTAGCACATTGAGATTATCTACGTTCAGTTATGTTGTTTTTTTCATTCGATTAACAAACTGTAATTATTCACAGTGTTCGTTCATGATAGAACAAAAATTGCAAGTCCTTCAAAATTTCGCGCAAAGATAATATAATATATCGACGGATTAATTACGTAATTAATTACAAGTATTTCTGTAGTAGATTATGTATATCGCAATAATGCGCTAAAATTTTATTTCATTTGCTCATTTTATCGCTCGAAATTTTGAAGGATTATCGATATAAAAGATATGCCCTGTGATAAAACTGCGACAAAAAAGATTCAAGAAGACATTCGATGGAGTATTACCATGGAAGATTGTTATTTTTATATGTTTATTTTATGTAAATTGTATACGCGTGTTTTTCAGTTTCAATATTATATTGAAAAAAAATATTCTGATTTACAAGTTTATATTTTCAGTGTTATGTTGGAGCTTCCAAATATTTTTTATTAGCTCTTCCTAAAAATTTTCTTTTTCTTCAAGCGTACATACAAGTACACATATGTATTGTTATTTCCAGCTTATTTTTATTTTCGGTTTTCCTTCTAAAGGTGCATTATGATTTATTTTGAATGTACTATGTGATAAAGATTCGAAACAAAGAAGAAGTAGAAAATTATAATAAAAGGCGAATATTTGTGACCGGCGGATCATCGGAACGTATATAATTTACTGTGTAATGGTAAATCTCTTATATAGTAACGCTCGTGAAAACCCTATGTATAATGTATAAGTTAGACAATTTTCATTCTAATAAAAAAAGCACTCGTACAAACATACACGCAACATACACAATCGCATACACCGATCTATAGTCACTTTTAATGATATAAGCGCACGCATGCAATGTTATAGCAGCGACATGTATATATAGTGTATATAATTACGTAAATCATTAAGCTAGATAAATTCTGCATTATCTTTCAATATTACGTAAGAAGGTTAAGTTTAGTAAATGTACAGGCTGTCTTATTCGCGTGGCCAACGATTGTCGTATCGCTGTTTCTTTACGAAAAAGGAACGAAAATGGTATTTTACAAAATATTTTCGATATAATCTCTTTTTTTCACTCGAAGGAAACATGTGAAGATCTTTTATTTTCTAACGCGTGGAAGTGTTTTTTTTTCTTCAGTTCATTTCATTCATTTCATTTCATTTCATTTCATTTCATTTCATTTCCTACTTTAGGGAAGATAGAAATTAAAGAAAACTAAAGCAATGGACTGATTGTTACGCGGTCGCTGCCGAACGTGTGATCGGACATCGCGGGCCACTATAATATCTTGAAAACAGATTTTAAACAAAAATTACCAACGGTATATCCATGTTAAATGTAGACATATTGATAGAATATGTTCGTTTTAGGATATTCTGATCAAAAGAAATAAATATGAGAATATAATGTTAAAACATTCGTAACTCTAAGATGTACAAGAGGAAGAAAGGTCCATTCCGGATCGTTCTCTGACGAAAAAGAAAATCAGATTTCTATATCGATGTCTTTCAAGAGTATGAGTTGTTCACGTTTTTCGGATGGTTCTTTCGTGATAAGAAAGTAGGCGTTCCGGCGAGACCGCGGCTGATTAACAACAGCCTTCCAGTGGTATTCAACGAGTCGAAAAACATACTGAATTATCGGTTGCAGAGCGCAAGAATCGGGCCCAAGATGATAGAAAACGGCTACCACTGTTGTTATTTTTGTAAGACCGCGGCTGACTTCCGGCGATCCGGGCGCGTCGCGACTCTAGATCGTCGCGTCGCGTCACTTTTCGAAATGGTGCTATGCGACGAAAAATTCTATTAAGTAAGTTTTTTCGAAAATTTTAACGGGCGTTGTTGGGTACCAGTGGATCTCTGGCGCGATTGCCCGAAAGAACTACGATCTTAAGATGTAATAGATCTTCACGTCCAAGTCTGATAATCGTATACAAAAAAGAGAAGCTAAAAGGACTCCACGGGTTCTAGTGTATGTGTAAAAAAAAGAGAAAAGTCGAATATACATATACAAGTTCGTTATGGTTGCGATACTCGGCGGTAATATCGCGGGGTTCGTACAGCGACGAGGAAGCAAACGCTGGCGAAAAGGATTTAGCAAAGCGGATATTGTCAAATATCTACGAGGAAAAGGGCTTGTACGAGAATACGTGCCATAAAAAACTGATTAGATAGCGATTACGAACAATGGCGACGGTCATTTGTATATGCTTTTGACGAGCCCTTTAACAGTTAGAGAAACTAAGAAGGTAGACGCGAATCGAAGAAAAATGAATAATAATAATAATAATAATATTAATAATAATAATAATAATAATGTGCAAAATTCCATGTGGAAGATTTTATATAATTTCTTTGTTTATATTCTGTTGCCGCGATTATTCTGTAAATCTCGAGTCCTTTTGCAGCGCATGTGCGAATGTACGGAATAAACATGAATGAGTGAATGAATCGTGAAAGAATCTTGGAGAATGATTCAAAGAAAAGTCTATTTGTTTTCGTTTCTGCGAGTTTTCTTTTCAATTTGTATACTTGGAACGAATTTAGCATAACTCTCGCGCGTTTTCCCACTTTAATAATAATTATTATTATTATTACGATATAAATATTTTTTATTATATGGGCATTTCAGTTCCTAAGTTGGAAATAAAATATCTACTACAAACGGACTTTTTTTATTGTATAAACACAAATACCAAGCGAGACAGTGATAAGTCGTGCGTTTGCGATTGTACATTTTCTTTACAGGATTTTTCCAAAGTACTAAAAAATACACTTGTAGATTTTTATCTCAAAAATTTTGAAGTATTTACTATTTTCTACACGGTAGGTATATCTTTTCCTATAATTTAATAATTTTATAAGAATCTATAAATCTCATTCTCATTCATGTAGTTTCCAGACTTGTTAGTATCGTGTATTGAAAAATAAAATAATTTACATTTGCGTGTTAGTATCACATCGGATCTAAAGAAGCTAATTGCTAGGTGTATATAAAGATAAAACATTGATGTTTCAATATTGTACAAGGTAGAGGGAATCGGCAAGAATTCAATTAGAAATTAAGATGCCTGCGTGACCGCTTCATAATTATGAGAGAGAATACGCGCTTTATGTGGGACCGCGCAGCTCGCCCTAAATAGAGAAACCGCTTCCATTAGCTCAACCGTCGATGCGATATCGGCGGTTAGCGTTCTGAACTTAACAAAACGACCGAAAAACGAAGGAAAAGAACGACACGAGTATCGTGGCGTGGAATGCACGGACACATATGCCGCGAAATTTAAAATCTCTTTACGGCAGCTATAAACTGATAACCTGTTTAACCAGTCTTGCAAACTGACGGACACCAAACGTTTTACCTTCGCAAAATCATTCCTATTCCGTTTTATCTACCATTTCTTCTTTCTCGTGTTTTTTTCTTTTTTGCCACTCCGAGGCAAGCGAACCTTTGTTTTACACATCGGTACGTTTTGTAGTTTTAGTTTGCACGTTCGTTGACGAATATAAAATTAGAAAATAGCGAATACATAAATTATTTTTGGTAGCTAGTTTTTAAAGACATAAGTCATATTTTATCATAATGATATTTCCTTTTATCTTTCCTACATAATTTATTTATAATTTTAATTTTAATCGGCAGCAAAAAGTTATGTAAAAAATAACATTATTTCAAGTCTTCTCCATTTTATGAACGTTATGAAATAAGGACTCACCCCCTCAGAGTTCGGTTATCTTTATATCTCGACGAAAGAGCGTCGTTCCTGCATCTACACACTTGCATCTATTGTTGTATTCCGTTCGACGAGTTGATGGCTTTGGATTGAGAGAGAAAGAGCTTTTAGTTATCTTTGTCCTTCCTTTATCACTCATGTTGTAGCAGGAAGAAGTTTTATCTACGGCAACTCGGTCTCACTCGTGCTCTCTAAATAATAAAAAGAAAACAACAATTACAATTACAAGCAAATGATTATAAATTTTCATTTCGATATTTATACATGTACTATTTAATAATGATAAATTTATACGCAAAAACTATTACTGTACATGAAAGTCGTGTATGCTATAATATTTACTTCATCTGAGTATTCAAATTAATTCAAATAAATTATATTTATATATCATATGTACCAATAGCACGATTGACCGCGGGTAAAGCGACACCCTGCTTGTAAAACACAAGTTAAATTTCCTCGCGATTTTGCTCGTTATAGTTGATAAGCGTCGGAGTATGCGTGTGTTGTCCTCGCACGCACGACGAGCGATGATTAAGGTGGTGAGGTAAAATTGTGTTTACCTCTCGATCCCCCCGGTGACAATCGACAAACACACGGTCGTTGTAGTATTGTCGCGCGTCGCCGCATGCCAAACCACCCCTATGTACACTGCGGGATCGCAGTTTAGACCCGCATTCGCCCACGAGGATCCGCGGGATAGGGTGGTCTCTATCGCGGTTGAGCCGAGAACGGGTCTCGTTGAGACGGGAAGCGCTTTCGTTTCGTTTCTTCGTCGATACAACGCGAGCTTGTTGGGCTTGGCGGCAGCCGAGAGATCGCGGATGACGCGGAGAAATTATTTATATAATCGCCTTTTTACTTTGCCACGCGCGATCGATCGATGGGCGCAACGTCCCGAGTCCATCAAATTATACCACGTCAATTTTTTATTCCGCTTAGGAGAAATTAACGATGGGCGGGAATAACGAGGGACGCGTTCGATAAATGTGTGCGTGTGTTTAATATAAGACTACCTGTTTTTCGGATTTTTTTAAATTTATATATATTTATATAAATTATATAAATTTATATATATTTTAACACTAGATTAACGCGATATATTATGTATTTATGACAGTCGTCCGAAATATTTTTTCTCGGCATTTTCTCATACTATGCGTTTAATCTAACCTTATCGATGATATTTATCGCTGCAGTAATTTAATTTCTTTGGAATTTTTTAAATACATATTTATTCATACATATAATTTTTTGATATAAATTATATGCACAATACGCTTGATTTTGAATCGATCGATTCCTGATATTGCGGTTTATTTGCCGGCGAGATCTAGTCTGATTTAATCTAAAATCGGATGTAGCGAGACGCGCCATTCTTACCTTCGTAATATTATACAATTGTAGAATTGCAACTGCAACGATTACAGCATTAGATCCATTAAATTTGCACTATAAACGTTTTTGATGCCGCAAATAACCGCGCGCGAGATTACACTACGATAAAGCGGAAAGATCACTATCTCAATATCTCAATTTCCGTTCCGTTCCGTTAGACCATTGGTCCGATTCCAAGATTCCGAGTTTTGCGCGCGAAAATCAAATATGGCTGTTATGACGTGAACATGGACTTATATAG